TCTTTTTTTTTAATTCAAACAATAGTTTCTTGCAACAGATATATATGTTTATACACTTTTAAGCCCTAACATGTTTGTACAGATGTTTTATTATTTTATATCCAGTCTGTGAAGGCATCTTGATTCTGAACTTGCATACAAACTTAATGATCAACATTATTTTTTGTCCAATCACATTGTAGTATTTTTCAAATTTCTGCTTAGTCTAACTTTGGTTAATGTGTACTAACTAAATAAAATTCACTTAATCTGTCGTCTAACTCCAGTCTAACAAATTTCAATAATGCATTATATTAGGGAGGAGTTAGAGGTATGGTTTACACTCTGATTTGTAAAATGTAAAGGTTAGCAAAACAATGCCAACATAAAAAAAATTAGTGGAGGTCAGGTGTGAGGATACAATCAATTAATTTATTACATAGATAATACATGTTGGGCACGCAGAGACAAATGATTACATACTAGTATCTTTTTATGCTCCCCGAAAAATTTCGGGCGCCTTGTCCGTCTGTCGGTCCGTCCGTCCGTCTGTCCGTCCGTCCGTTTTCTTGTCCGGAGCATAACTTGAAAACCCTTGGAGATAATTTGTTTAAACTTCATACAGTGGTAGAGGGCATTGAGGGGGAGTGCAGTGTCAAAGAACCATAACTCTATTTTGCCCGATTTTTGAATTATCTCCCCTTAAAGAAAAATCTTGTCCGGGGCATAACTCTAAAACTATAAGAGATATCAACATGAAACTTTGTAGGTGAATAGATCTCAATGGGTAGATGTGCAGTGCATAAGAACAATAACTCTTTTTGTCCTAATTTTGGAGTTATTGCCCTTTGTTAATTTCAACACTTTGAACTTTGTCCGGAACATAACTCTAAAACTATAAGAGATATCAAGATGAAACATTGTAGGTAGATAGATCTCATTGAGTAGAAGTGCAGTGCAAAAGAACCATAACTCTGTTAAGCCTCATTTTTGAATTATCTCCCCTTATATAAAAATCTTGTCCGGGGCATAACTCTAAAACTATAAGAGACATCAACATGAAACTTTGTAGGTTAATAGATCTCAATGGGTAGATGTGCAGTGCATAAGAACAATAACTCTTTTCGTCCTAATTTTGGAGTTATTTCCCTTTGTTAATTTTAACACTGAACTTTGTCCGGAACATAACTCTAAAATTATAAGAGATATCAAGATGAAACATTGTAGGTAGATAGATCTTATTGAGTAGAAGTGCAGTGCCAAAAAACCATAACTCTGTTAAGCCTCATTTTTGAATTATCTCCCCTTTATGAAAAATCTTGTACTGGACATAGCTGTATAACTATAAGAGATATCAACATGAAACTTTGTAGGTAGATGTATCACAATGGGTAGATGTGCAGTGCACAAGAATCATAACTCTGCCTTGCCTAATTCTGGAGTTATTGCCATTTGTTTATTTTTACTTTTTGAAGTTGTCCGGAACATAACTCGGAAACCATAAGAGATATCAACAAGAAACTTTGTAAGTTGATAGATAACAGTGATTAGAAGTGCAGTGGAAAGAACAGTAACTCTGCCTTTCCTAATTTTGGAATTATTGCACTTTTTCCAGGGACATAACTCTGAAACTACAAGAGGTGTACTTTCCTGTGTCCAAAACCTATTCGGGGAGCATCACCCGGCTCAAACCGGGCTCATGTTTTAATATTCTTTTAACTCTAAGAAAAATGTCTTTTATAATTTGCTGAGTGTTTTAAACTTTAACTTTTCCAAAACATTATTTTTTTTCACTTGATAGGAATGAACTGCATGAACAATCATTGATATTAAGAATACAATGATTACATTTTTTAGCTGGAAAACTCATTGTAAATGGACCTATCCACCTGTAAACACAGAAAAAAAAATAAAATAACTGTTTTTCAAATGAGCAAATCAAAGGGATTTTAAATGTTAGTGAATAACTTGAAGCTAATAACGAATTTGTATCAATTAATAATCTTTAATGTATTTTTCTCACATTTTCCATTTATTTTAAAGGGATATACACATTTCATTAACTCCATTGCTTTTACCTTATTGCATTGTTTTCCTCTTCAGATATTTTATAGAAACATGATAGTCTTACTGTAGATAAAGGTATAAATTATGTGACATTTCAATAAAAATGTGCCTGAATATATGTTGAAAGGGCCATTTATTTAGCTTATCTAAATGTGACATGTAAGAAACTTGACAAGGTGTAGACAACTTGTAGAACGAAAGGGCGGAGCTATCAGTGATTTAGAGAAATGCCTTGTTTTTGGTTAAAAAAAAATAATGTTGATCATTAAATAGGTGCGGCAGGCTTGACCAATTATTTTTGTTAATACATATTATTAAACACTAACCTATACTTAAAATAATACATCATTTGCAAAAATAAGAGGACCAAAAGGTTCTGTACTGATTATTACCTTGTGAAAGTATAAAATGTAGAAAATAAACACATATATTGTGTTGAATTCAAAACAAGAAGACAATATTATTATAGGGAAAAACAGCAGAAATGTACCATTTTTAGACATTTATGTTAACCCATTACTTCATGAGCATTTTGTGAAAAATGGCTGTTTTCATTGAAAAGTCTCCCGTTACAAGTTCAAATTGCTATAATACTATAAAAACTGCTTCAACACTAATCAAACTTGGCACAAATGTTGACTGGACCATTGCCCTTGCAACAACATGCTTGGGCTTAAATTTTCTGTTACCATGGCAACGAGGGGACATCTCAAAATTGCCAAAAATCACCATTTGGCGTTGATTTTTTCCATCATAATTGATTTCAAAGTGCTGCAACTTCTCAATGGATTGAGATAGAGTCAAATGCTTTTCAGCGTTGGTTACACGTTACCTTATGATGAATCTGGGGTCATTTATAGCCTCTCGCAAGTCCAAAATTTTCTTGGCGATGAGGGGGACTCCGCCCCCTTCAAACCCCCCAAACAGAAGGGGGCACATCCCCCTTCTTTGCAACCCCCTGATGTATCTTTTGATTGGGGGGCCGCGCCGAAAAAGTGGTCACTTTTTTTAACAACATTGCACAAACAAAAACAAGTGTTGGGGGCCTAAATAAGTCATTTTTACCATTTGAGACAACAAAAAGGGGGGGGGGGTGAAAAAGGCGTGTATATGACGTAATGGGTTAATGAAAATTTTCATAGAAGCATTGAAGCATTAAGGAGTACAATGTAATTACAACACAAACAATAATTTGATAGGTTATCAGGTAAAAAAGTAACAAATATAATAAAGTTAGGATTTTATTTTTGATGTTAGACTGTATTTGTTTTCCCACCTCTGTAAGGTTTCATTACTTGTCATACAATAAAGATTTTAAATATTCAAATGTGTCCTGTTTTTTCTCTAAAGGATATTGTTAAAGCAATACCAATGAATATGATAACATCAGTTTGTATCTATGAAAAATAATTGTCTGAAGTGTGTGTAATTAAATTACTTGTTTGTCAACAAAAAAAGAAACAAAATTAATCATCTTTGTTTTCTTTTCTCAAAAGAATGGTTACTTTAATATCAAGAATTTTCAACGATGGAAAATCTTGATTATTGCTTGATCTTTATGTGCCACAATAAATTCATTAAATAAAAAAACATCCTGTGTATGCATCATAAGAAATACATCGGCAGCTTTATCATGTACATAAAGGGAGACTTTCAAAGTGTGACCTTGACCTTTGTGGAAGAGATCTGGGTGTTGCATGTGCAATGTCTTAGTATTGCCTTCCCAACCCCCCACCCCCCTCGCCCGACAAAAGCCCCCCCCCCCATCTAAAATGACAAGGTGGACAAAATCAACAGGATCTTTAAATACCAGGAGGTTTTAAAAATAGGGTGAGACTTGCTCAGTGTCCCACTCCAACTCCTACTTTTCTAACTGATTCTTTTATAGCAGACTGGCGTTTCCGTGAGTTTTACCCATACCAGAAATTTCATCTGGCATGGGGGGGGGTGCCAGATGAGTCGCATGCCAAACAACAACCTCATTTAAGCGCACTTTATGAATGAACCACGTTAAAATGATGTTGAGAAGGGAAATATGTGCTTAGGATGATGTCATTTCGCCGTTGTTACTTAAGTTGTAAGTTAGTCATACGCTACTGTAAGAAAATAGTTATGGATGAAATGACTTTAATTTCCATAAACATATACCATATTGAGGTAAAACATTTTAAATATGAAATAATGTGAAAGAATATGCAAGAAAAAATATCTGACATATGTTTGCGGTTTGGGATATCGGGAACTCACCCATGGGCGGTAACTCGGCAAGCCTCGTTACAGCTCACTGGGCGGGTCCCCTTGAGACGGATATTTCGGTCCAAACCGCAACTTATGACAGATATTATCATTCCAGGATTTTGTAGGATGACTGATTTGTTTGCAGATGTCAGAACAATGTATATTGTAGTATCATCTGCAAACAAGGACCTGGGAATTCATGTTTCGTGGGGTGGGTGGTCATTTATATAAGCGAGAAACAGCCTAAAACAGGAGGGGTCTTAGAACTGAGCCTTGGGTGACACCTGAGTTTACTGGGATTGGGTTTGAGCTGTTGCCATATAGCACAACGGACTGCAGTGTTATTTAGAAAACTTTTGACCCATCTTACAGTTTGACCTCAGCAGTGATTCCATATAGTCATGTATTTTCAGCACAAACATTTGGGATGTGGAGCTCAGAACGCATTTCATTTCCAAATAAAATGTATGCTGTATTTGTCAATCCCAGCACATGGACTTATCTCATATATCAAAAAAAAAAAAAACTTAATATAAGCTGTTTCGAAAAAAAAATCATATTTCAACGTCTATAATAAAAATTGCCCGTAATGAAATCTAAAAGAAACAAACTTCTTGCTTTTTCTCAACCCTACATTCCCTATATAACAAAATCTTGATGTGTCAGGCATGTCATTCTCCTACAAAATCACATCTCTAGCACAAATACTTAAGGGTCATTTCTTATAAGTCTACCGGATGGAAAATTCAATACAATAGTCTGACCGTCAATACAAGATCATGACCGATTTCAAGAAAACAAATAGAAAAAACTTTCGAAAGAGGAAGCAGTCTTCTGACAGTGATCTGGATTCAGATGGAAATGAAGAGACAATGTAAGAATGTTGGTACATAATGTGATTTTTATTCAAAATAACTGAACAATATCTAAGTAATGACTTAATAAATGTAATGACATGTATTTTCGCGACATCGGGTCAACTTAAAAACTTCTATTAGGATATATATAGGTTTTTTAGATTGTTTAGTTAATATAACATTTAAGGAGTAAATTATTATAAAAGTATTCAAAAGTACGATCAATTACAAACAGAAATTGAAAAGGGTGACAGTGTACATGTAAGTATTGTTTGAAATTATCTTTGTTAAACAATGAAAGTTATGATGAAAACATTTAAAAAGTAATCATTACCAGTAATATATAATTATGGGCTGAGTTGACCCGTGCCGAGTTGGAATAGGGCTGAGCTGACTCTGGGGCCGAGTAAGTTTTAGGGCCGAGCTGACCCCAGTTCATAAATGACTGCCCGTTTAGGAGTAGTCCAACTAATTGTACTGCGCGACGAGATATTGTGCTATTTTCGTGTCTGGGCAATATCTCGCCTCTAAAGCGAGATTCTGCCCCAGAACGAAAATATCTCAGAATCAAGCTTTGGCACGTCAATATATTTTGACTAGTTTAGGAGGCGCCCCTGTGTGCTCTTCTAATGTATGTCTATGTTGTTTCATAATGTTTTGTTGACAATTTTGTTTGTGTCCCTGGTTGTTTTCTCGTCTAAGTTTAGTATCTTCCTGTTTGCCCCTAGTTTGTTTTTTTATTTGGCCACTTGGACCCTTCCCCTGATCTTGTTTACCATATTTTGGACCAGTCAAATTAATTTCACGTTATCCATTTTACTTACCTGGTAGGTATCAACAACTTGTTAGAAAAAGATATTGCCCTTCAACATGATAATCTTGATGTTTTAAGTTTTTTGACAAATCTAACTATTTTTACAAGATCAGCCTGAGGACATAAATGCGGGGTTTTCGATTTAAAACACTGGATTTCCGTGCATTCTAATGTAAATATGATAAAGACATGCAGTCATAGAATTTAAGATTTTGAATTGACTGGCCCTAATTCAAGTTTTGAATTTATTTTACTATATATTTAACTAAATTTTCTTAAAATTTACAATGGCCCGAACTAATTTTCACTGGCCATGGGTCACTGGGCCAGTGCTAAATTCGATGACTGGACATGAGCCTAAACATAACCATGGACTTTAATTACAAGGATCAGAAAATTATTTACTGGCGATTAAAGATGCAAAATTTCAGTTCAATTGAGTTGCTAGTATGTAGTTGTATTTATTGATGCACAGTTGTTTAATGAGTTAGATCTATTATTATTTTCACTTAAACTTATTCATTTCTTAAAGGATTTACTTAAAACTTCCTCATCATAATAATATGACAAGGTTTATAAATCTAGCGTCCATATTTCCAGAGTGATCTACCCCTTAAACTTTGAATTTTCCTAATTTATTCTATTTTTTCTTATTAGCTCACCTGAGCTAGCTCAGGGTGAGCTTATAGGATCGTTGAATGTCCGTCGTCCGTCCACACTTGTTCGTTAACACTCTAGCGGTCACATTTTTGCCTCAATCATCATCAAACTTTGTCAGGATGCTTATCTAGTTGATAGCTCGGATGAGTTCGAACATGGGTCATCTCGGATGAAAAACTAGGTCACCGGAGCTAAAAATAGAAAAACCTTGTTAACACTAGTGGTTACATTTTTTCCTCAATCATCATCAAACATGGTCAGGATGCTTATCTAGGTGATAGCTGTGATGAGTTCGAACATGGGTCATCTCGGATGAAAAACTAGGTCACCAGAGCTAAAAATTGAAAAAACTTGTTAACACTCGAGCCGTCACATTTTTGCCTCAATCATCATCAAACTTGGTCAGAATGCTTGTCTAGGTGATAGCTCGTATGAGTTCGAACATGGGTCATCTGGGATGAAAAACTAGGTCACACTGCCCAAATATGGAAAAACCTTGTTAACATTCTAGTGGTCACATTTTTGACTCAATTATCATCAAACTTGGTCAGTCTAGGTAATTGCTCGGATGAATTCGAACATGGGTCATCTCGGATGAAAAACTAGGTCACACTGCCCAAATATAGAAAAACCGTGTTAACATTCTAGGGGTCACAGTTTTGACTCAATTATCATCAAACTTGGTCAGTATGCTTGTCTAGGTAATTGCTCGGATGAGTTCGAACATGGGTCATCTCGCATGAAAAACTAGGTCACAGGAGCATAAAATAGAAAAATCTTGTTAACACTCTAGTGGCTACTGTTTTGATCCAAGTATCCTGGAAATTGGTCTGAAAGTTTGTTTTGATGATTTCTAGGTCAAGTTGGAATATGGGTCACCTGGGGTCAAAAACTAGGTCACTTTGCTCAAATATGGATAATCCTTGTTAACACTCTAGTGGTCACATTTTTGACTCACCTGTTTTGAAACTTGGTCAGAATGCTTGTCTAGGTAATTGTTCGAATGAGTTCGATGGGTCAGGTTAGCGATCTAGGGCCATCTTGTTTATATTGTGTGAGCATATTAAAATATAGTTTTTAAGTTAACTTTGATATTTGGATGGGAACTATACTTGAATGCCAGTATGTTCATATCAACACCTACACATCATATGTGATTACATTTATAAGTCTAGCACCTGGATTTCCATGATTATTTTTATTTTGAACTTAGAATACATTTGATAATTGTTATATTTTTTTTTCTTTGTTACTATAAATGGTATATGTTTGAAAATTGTTATTTTTTTAGATTTCTTCTTTGTTACTATAAAGGTACTTCTTTAGACTTAAGATGATTGTTCTTTGTCATAACCCGCTTCATAAAACTATGACAATGTTGATAAGTCTAGCATCTTGATTTTCAAGAGTTATCTCCTCTTTAGTTTAAAAATTTTACTTTTAAAAATGTTATATTCTCGTTACAACCAGGGATGTTAAATGATTTACCCTCTGTCTGTCTGTCCATCCCTAAAAACTGTTTCATGAGGTCACTTTTAAAGAACTTAGAACTTTTCCAACAAATTTACTTGAAATAGAGAAAAGTTGAAACATTAGTTATACATTATATATAATATTATAACTTTTAAAACTGGGAAATTTTACGTGTATGAAATCACAGAAACTTGACATCTATCAAAAATTACCAAACACCCCAAAATATTTTATATTTATGTACAATCAGACTTCCTACCAAAAACCCCCAAAAATAGTTTACAGACAATCAGTCTGAACTCTTATTGATAATTATAAAGAATATTGTAAGTTCCTGCACTCGGAATCAGAAATTTTTTGATCCCAATTTTTGACACATTGAGTTTCAATGCTATTTTGCAGATATTTTAAATTTTTTTTGGAAAATCTATTATCATTTTTACAATGAAAAAAAAAATCAACCTGTTTCATATTATCTACAATTTCAGATCAAAGCTTGGCGACATTAAGGAGTTACAAAAGTCCAGAGAAAGGCAGAAAGGTGTGAATATTGTGGGACTGGCATTAGGGAAGAAAATACCAAAAACTGAGGATGTTGACAGTGTAAATATTTTACTGTTTATAGCTATAAGCCTTGCATTGTATATTTAACCTAGACAAAATTTGATGTATATTCATTATTTTGCCTGAGGGAATGAGAGGTTTCCTTAATAGGACTTGAAACCAGTACATCTAGACCCTGAGGCACCTATCATATCAATGGAGCACTGTTTCCCATGACTTCCAGAAATATTTTTAGAAACATTGTGTACTAGTAATCAAGAAACAAAGAACAAAGCTTTTTTTAGCTTCCTATTTGACATTAAATCTGTTTTGATTCCTGAGACATTGTGCTCTAAAATGGTAGCATACACATATAAAATGTTTTATATTTGTATTAAGCATAGAAAGAGATAGAATAAATATATATAACATATTTTATATTTTACAGCATGATCCATTTAAGATGAAAACAGGTGGTTATGTTGACATGAAGGCATTGAAGTCACAGTAAATATTATTTTTATGCTCTTTGGCTTAAAATTAGTAATTGAACTGTCTATCCGTACGAGGTCACTGGTGTAGAAAATAAATTTATACATTTTTGCTCATACACTGACATTCAGCCTTTATTTTTAAGTTGATTTATCACTTTTGATAAGGTCCTTGTATGATTGACTAATTCAGGCAAGTTAAAGATTTTAGAGTGACCGATGTACATTGAGAGATATTACTACTAATTAACAGATTAGTCACCGTTTTCCTGTTTCTCACTATAACATGAATTGCTCATGATGGGACATTATTTGTAGAGGGACTGTCTTAACAGAGGAAGAAAAAGATGCTATTGGTACAGCATTTGCTGCAGAAACTAACAGAAGAGATGAGGATGCTGAAATGTGAGTGTTATAACTTGCTTAATCATTTTCTTACTACGAACACATTGTTTAATCAAATTAAGGGCATTTTAGTTTAACTACCAGGAGTGTTCAAATATGAATGAATCTAAGCACATAAAATTTTATTCTGTATAGGTTTCATTGATTTTTAGGATCATTGAATGTCAGTAAGTTGTCCACATTTAGTTTGTTAATACTCTAGTGGTCACATTTTGCCTCAATCATCATGAAACTTGGTCAAGATGCTTGTTTAAGTAACTGGATGAGTTCGAACATGAGTCATCTCGGATGAAAAAATTAAATCACAGAAGTTAAAAATAGAAAAATATTGTTAACACCAAAGGCTTCTGTCTTGATTATAATATCCTGGAAATTGGTCGGTGAATTCTAGGTCAAGTTTTAATATTGGTCATCTGGGGTCAAACGCAAGGTCACACAGCTCAAATATGGAAAACTCTCTAGTGGCTACTGTTATGATCCAAATTATGTATCCTGAAAATTGGTCAGAAAGGTTGTTTTGGTGATTTCTAGGCCAATTTTGAAAATGGGTTATCTGCGGTCAAAAACTAGGTCACACAGCTCAAATATGGAAAAACCTTAATAACACTCAACAGGCTACTGTTTTGATCCAAATATCCTGGAAATTGGAAAGAAAGGTTGTTTTGATGATTTCTTGGTCAAGTTTGAATACGGGTCATCTCTGATGAAAATTTAGGTCACAGCAACCTAAATATGGAAAAACATTGTAAACACTAGAGGGTAGTGTTTTGATCAAAATATCCTTGAACTTGGTCAGAAAAGTTGTTTAAATGATGATTTCTAGGTCAAATTCAAATACAACTGTTTTTGTATTACAGTATACAAGAGGACAATGTGAGCAATAAACATAGTAAAAGTGAATAGATTTAATGAATGTGGTATAAATGTAAATCTAACAATTATTGTACATTTGTACAATAACCTTCATTTCTTTGTGTATTTCGCAATATTGAACAAATTATTAATTACTGATAATTATAAGATAAAATTTATGAAAACAAAAAGAGAAAGTATTGTTCTTTTAATTTTCTCTTGGAGTTCTCATAGTAGGAGCACTGCGATGGTATATTTTGTCGGAAAATTTCCTAAATGATCGGTAGAAAAGCCTGAAACGTGAATTGTTCATGTTACAACATTAACATAAATCAGAGTAAATGATTGTCATAGAAGAATCAATGATGTATCTAGATATATAATTCAGTCTTAGCTGTCTTTTAAGCAAGTGTGTTACCCTAGCTGGCTTTGTTTACCAGTGGTCTTTAAAACAGATTTTTGTTAAAGAAAATAAAATTTTGGCATTTTGTGACCGGTTGTTTTTTTTTCAGACCTTGTGTTGGGCATGTTTGGCATTGGTTACATTTCATTACTGATTTTATTTTGATTTTCTTTTATTAGGGCTAAGTTTGTAGAAGAAGAACTGAAGAGAAGAAAAGGAGTGACACCGATTGAGAAGAGAAGACAATCCAGGTATGTTGTCTACTGTACCATATAATTTTATGATTCACGTTTGCTGTCTATTTTACCACATAATCATTTACATGTATAATTTAGGTATGCTGTAAACATTACCACATTATTTTGTACAACCCAGCTATGCTGTCTTTTACCACATTGTTATATATACATGCTCACAATCCATTTATGTTGTCTACTTAATCATATTATTACAGTTAAACTTCGTTCGCTCGAACTTGGATTGCTCGAATACCTCCCTTCGCTCGAACTCATCGCCCAGTCCCGGCAAAATTCCTATATAATATATATTGTTCTACCTCGGATCGCTAGAACACCGATCGCTCGAACTCTCGAACCTGATCTCTTGTCCCTTCAGCAGAAATATAGTGAAAATCACACCTTTTCGGTCGAACACAAAAAGACATGTCCTAAATAAATGACAGTCGGCGACACATGTTTTTAACACCTCGTGATAGTGACAAAGGTAATTAAGGTTAATTGATACAAAATAAGAGGTGTTGTAACTGATTTGTTTGTTATGATAATATTGTTGATTTGCCGTTTATCATGTTTATGGTAACAATAAAAAGAAAATAACTCGTGAAATAAGTGAAATATGCAAAAGTCAATAAAGAATGACGTTTACCTGAACGGCTTTAATTACAACCGTGGGTCATGTAAAGTGAATTGAAACAGTGTTATCTATTTATAGAATGATACTTGTATGTGTGTTCATCATACATGTGAACTTTTTTCGATGATCAGGAGGGAGATTTTTCTTCAAACAGAGGGAGATTTTAGAATTTGCAAAAAACAAAGAAGAAATTTCTGACATCAAAAATAGGGAGATTTTATAAATTTGTGAAAATACCCCATATTTTAAGAAAAATCTTTGAAAATATGGCTGCCCTAAAGGTGGAAGAGTTCACATGTATGGTTCATTTTAGTAAATGACTACAAATAGATGCTGCTGTAAAACGTTCTTTTTGTATTTTAAATATTTAATTTATTCATTTTTTAAAATTAAATTACAATAATTAATACAGCGTACCGTTTATACTTAATTGAAAACTCTGAATATGACATATTCGACGAACAGATGTACTAACAAACAATTATATTGACGTATTTATAATTTGACCGACGTAAGCAAGAAAACCTTTAGGCATATGATCAACTTAATAATAGTTCAACCTCGGTTGGCTTGAACTACCGATCTCTCGAACGAGTTCGAGCAAACAAAGTTCTACTGTATATACATAAACAATGGCCCTTGAATGAAAACAGTGTTAATAAAGTTTGTCCAAATTACTCATTTTATATTACTGATGCAATTTCAACTTTACTGGATTGATTGTTAGTTCTTGTGCATATGGCACAGGTTTCCAGTTGAATAATTTTTGGCTGAGTTATGGTCATTGGATAAAAAAAGGGTCTTCTTATAAGCTTGCTATATACCAAGTTTGATTAAAATATCTCATTCCTAACTTAAGTTATTGTCCGGAAACCATTTTTCTATTTTTTTGTAACAGTGATCTTGACCTTGACCACAGGGGGTGCAAAAGACAAAGGCCCAAAAGCAATCAAAACCTAGGTTTTCAAATATTATGGTTACTATATACCATGTTTGAATACAATAACTCATTCCAGTCTAGTTATTGTCCGAGAATCTTGAAGTGGACCAACCATACGACTGACAAGCTGACTCCTGTATAGCCCTCGAAACTCTGTTTGTGGGGTTATAATAAGTTAGAATAGAATACAGTCAGAAATATTTACTGTAAAAATTTCCGTTGCTTCCTTCATTTTTTTAAGCACCCACCAATTTGTTTGAATATATATTGCACTATACAGCATGTACAATCCCGATATGCTGTTTATTTTACCACATTTAATTATCGGACATGTACAATCCATGTTTGATCTTTTCATTGCAATTGGTAAACTAAGAAAATCTTTGATTTTGTTACTTGCAGTACTGATGAGAAAGAGTCAATCTTTGAATTACCAGAGCATCTTAAATCTGTAACATCAAAGTTTAAGAAATCAGAAGACATGTTATCCAATCAGATGTTGTCTGGTATACCAGAGGTCGATCTTGGAATAGAGTAAGTTCTTTTCTTTAAAGTATAAGATGTGTATTTGACAATGTTACAAATGTCATCTTAATCTTGACATTAATAAACTTTTATCATTTTCAAAAACACAAAAATAACAGTCTATTTCTAGTAGCCTTTTAGTGTATTATTTATTCCTAGTATCCTGTTAGTGTCTGTGTATTCCTAGTAGCATGTTTGTGTCTGTGTATTCCTAGTAGCCTGTTAGTGTCTGTGTATTCCAAGTATCCTGTTTGTGTCTGTGTATTCCTAGTAGCCTGTTAGTGTCTGTGTATTCCTAGTAGCCTGTTAGTGTCTGTGTATTCCTAGTAGCCTGTTTGTGTCTGTGTATTCCTAGTAGCCTGTTAGTGTCTGTGTATTCCTAGTAGCCTGTTTGTGTCTGTGTATTCCTAGTAGCCTGTTTGTGTCTGTGTATTCCTAGTAGCCTGTTAGTGTCTGTGTATTCCTAGTAGCCTGTTTGTGTCCTGTATTCCTAGTAGCCTAATAGTGTATATATATTCCTAGTAGCCTGTTAGTGTATATGTATTCCTAGTTGCCTTTTAGTGTCTGTGTATTCCTAGTAGCCTGTTAAGTGTATATATATTCCTAGTAGCCTGTTAGTGTCTTGTATTCCTAGTAGCCTGTTAGTGTATATATATTCCTAGTAGCCTGTTAGTGTCTTGTATTCCTAGTAGCCTGTTAGTGTATTATATGTTTTCCTAGTAGCCTGTTTGTGTCTTGTATCCCTAGTAGCCTGTTAGTGTCTATATATTCCTAGTAGCCTGTTAGTGTTGTATATTCCTAGTTGCCTGTCAGTGTCTGTGTATTCCTAGTAGCCTGTTATTGTATTATATGTATTCCTAGTAGCCTGTTATTGTATTATATGTATTCCTAGTAGCCTGTTATTGTATTATATGTATTCCTAGTAGCCTGTTAGTGTCTGTGTATTCCTAGTAGCCTGTCAGTGTCTGTGTACTGTATGTGTAGAAATATTGGCGGGCTTCAAATTTTCGCCATCTTCGCGGTGACATTCGATCTGCGAATTCATGTTCAGCGTGAATATTTCTACACCAATAATTTCTTAAAAGTCATATTTTCGCGCATCTATAGAACAATGTATATCAGTGTGTTCACGGCTGCCATAAGTCTGGTATCCATGGCGCTTTCAAAGACTGATTTTACGTTGTATAAACTGTACATATAACATTCAGCTCTGTATATAAATCAGTTTGCTAGTGTATTATTGTTTGACTGATATGATTATCGGATACTTGTATAAGTATATACATGTTTGAACAATACCATTGTAGTTTTAGTCATAAATGTTTTGACATCTGACCAGATTATATTTTGTTTTTCTAAACAAACAATACAAACAACACAAACTTTAACGATTTTAACTGATGAAAACATGGAAAACAAAACACAATTACCCAGTCAACATTTTACAATATCGGTGAAAAGGTTATGGTCTCATTCGGTGCTGTTTAAAACTGTGAAAAATCATGCAAGTTAACGGACCTCTTTTGTTTGCCATAATTTGTCCGTTAGACAAATTTAATGTCTTTGTTATATGTACAATAGCGTATTGTTTGACACCAGGTGTTGAAAATAACTGTGAAGTCCAACAATGGTTACAGTAAAAAGTATTTTAAATAAAAGAAGGCTGCTTGCGAAAACCATTGCCTCATCATGTAAGACTAATTTCCCTTATTTTTTAACCTGATGGGTGAACGCGAATTCATGATTTTCGGCAGTCACCTCCGCCAATTCAAAATAGCGCGAGTATTTGTATATACCCCCAAAATGGACCTTTCAGCGAAAATTTGCTTCCGCGAATTTAAATACACATACAGTATTCCTAGTAGCCTGTTAGTGTATTGTATGTATTCCTAGTAGCCTGTTAGTGTATTATATATTCCTAGTTGCCTGCCAGTCTATGTATTCCTAATAGCCTGTTAGTGTATATGTATTCCTAGTTGCCTGTTAGTGTATATATATCCCTAGTAGCCTGTTAGTGTATATATATTCCTAATTGCCTGTCGGTGTCTATGTATTCCTTGTAGCCTGTTAAGTGTATTATATGTATTCCTAGTAGCCTGTTAGTGTCTATGTATTCCTAGTAGCCTGTAAGTGTCTGGTTGTCTTTACGTTCTTAATTGCCTGTAAGTGCAGTAGTGTAGTCTTTTTCTAGGCTGGAAGTCATTATATGACTTCAGCAGTGTCAAAACATCAATAAATACTATGAATGATTTCAGAGCTAAGATCAAGAATATTGAGGAGACAGAGGAAGCCAAGCAGAAGTTGATCAAGGAGAGGATGAAAAAAAAGGAAGCAGTGTCTGAATTTGTTCCAACTAACATGGCTGTCAATTTTGTACAACATAACAGATGTAAGATGGTGTTACTATAATGTTGTTCTAATTATACTTTAAAAAAAATTGTAAAAATCTAATTTTAATTAGGTAAAGAATCATTGCCATGTATATGTAGCAATGGTACATTATATTCTATAAATATTTGATTCTTCTTATAGATTACTGAAACAGTCATTTAACTTAGTGTCTTTTATTGAGCAATTTTGACTGTTCTACATATATTATACAGACTTTCAAAGAGTAGTAGCACAGTGAAGTTCAGTCTTAAACTGTCTAGGCAAATTTATATACCTTCTTATCTGGGACATAACTATGCAACAATAAGAGATATCAACAAGAAACTTTGTAGGTATGTTGAGCTGATTGAGTAAATGTGCATTGCAAAGGAACTGTAACTCGGCCTTGCCTACGTTTGGAGTTATTGCCCTTTGTTAATTTTTACACTTTGAACTTTGACATAACTCTGAAACCACAAGAGGTATCAACAAGACACTTTGTAGGTAGATATATCTCATTGAGTAGAAGTGCATTGCATAAGAACCGTACCTAATTTTGTAGTTATTACCTTTTTATGCCACCGCAGCATCTGCCTAGGTTTTCCTCTTATGTAAGTACATGTAGTAAAAACTAAAAAATCTCCTCTGAATTGACAAAGGCTAAGGGTTAGATATATTGCTTGAAATATTATGTAGTGATTGTTCAAATTATGGCCCTGGGGTCAAAATTGGCCCTGCCTGGGGGTCATTGATTTTCATTATGTACATATAGTGAAAACTGAAACTAAAACAAATGTTCTAGGAGAAAGCTAGAGCTTAGATATTTGACATGAAACATTGTCCGGTGCACTTGTATCAAGATTGTTTAAATGAATCTCTTGGGTCAAAATTATGCCCTGCCAAAGGGGACACAGTGACTTACTTTCTTGTCCTTTGATATACAGCCATGAAATTTTGACCATGTGCACAGCTTGAGATCTAAAATTGATCAGTATCTCAAGTACTTGCGCATAATTTATGGATTTTCCAGTGGAGGGATTTTGGCTGAGTTATGCCCCTTGAATAAAAAAAATTGTTTTGGCCTATTCTTGATTATTGTGTCTCCTGCTACACAGTAGCCACAACATGCTACAAAGTAGCCACCACATTTTGGGAACAGACTGGTCACACCTCAATACAACTACTTAATTGGCTATTATCAGGCGACACGTGATCACTGATTGCTATTGTTCCAATTATGTTTTACTGAAAATTTACTAAAAAATACAACAAAGTTTAACCAAGGTGTTTTAACCAAGATGTGCTACAGTCACCATTAGATTCTTAATTTTAAAAAATTAGTTTGTGCTAGGGAATGTGTTATATTTGTTGTTGTTTTTTTTTAGTTAACATTGAAGATACTGCACCAATATTGAAAAAGGAAGAACCTGTACCAGTAAAACAAGCTAGAGTTGCCGACCCAGAGTTACGGAAGAAAGGTGTGTACCATGATTTTGATTTGATGAAATCAAATATAACACAGTTAAATATTTTTAAAGTACTTGTACACACTTTAATTTACATGTGTGAACATGCACCCCAGGAAAATATATTAATGCAGCGAAACAATTCAGTTTTTATGCCCCCACAATGTGGGAGCATATAGCGTTGCACTTGTCCGTCCGTCCGTCAGTCCGTCCGTCCGTACGTCCCGAAATCTTGTGAACGCAACTCCTCTTAAACGGGATGGCAGATTTTGCTTAAACTTACAGGGATGAACAACCTTAATGTGTAGATGGTAGTAAAGGAAGGAATTTTCGCTGCGACCAAATTTAACAGAATTATGGCCCTTTGTTGATTTTTTCACTAGATACTATGTAGAAATTTTGTGAACGCAACTCCTCTTAAACCGGATGGCAGATTTTGCTTAAACTTACAGGGATGAACAACCTTAATGTGTAGATGGTAGTAAAGGAAGGAATTTTTGCTGCAACCAAATTTAACAGAATTATGGCCCTTTGTTGATTTTTTCACTATATACTATGTAGAAATTTTGTGAACGCAACTCCTCTTAAACCAGATGGCAGATTTTGCTTAAACTTACAGGGATGAACAACCTAAAGGTGTAGATGGTAGTAAAGGAAGGAATTTTTGCTGCGACCAAATTTTACAGAATTATGGCCCTTTGTTGATTTTTTCACTATATACTATGTAGAAATTTTGTGAACGCAACTCCTCTTAAACCGGATGGCAGATTTTGCTTAAACTGACAGGGATGAACAACCTTAATGTGTAGATGGTAGTAAAGGAAGGAATTTTTGCTGCCACCAAATTTTACAGAATTATGGCCCTTTGTTGATTTTTTCATTATATACTATGTAGAAATTTTGTGAACGCAACTCCTCTTAAACCGGATGGCAGATTTTGCTTAAACTTCCAGGGATGAACAACCTTAATGTGTAGATGGTAGTAAAGGAAGGAATTTTTGCTGCGACCAAATTTAACAGAATTATGGCCCTTTGTTGATATTTAGTTTTCAACTTGTGGCACATGTAGTCCAAAAAATATTTGACCTAGAGTCATAAGATTGACAGAACAGTGGTGTGTGGGGGCATCCGTGTCCTATGGACACATTTCTAGTTGTAGAATTATATTGCATATTTAAAATTTAATTTTGCATATCATTAGATATATCTACCTTTGACTTTACTTGCAAGTCCATCCAAGTGGAATTCAGAATTCTCTGCTGTTATGTAATGCCTTAAGTATAAAGTCGTCTTTACAGTTGACTGATAAATGGCAGGCTAATGCCTCAATTACTATGTCATCTTTACAGTCTGGCAATAATGGCAGGCTAATTCATTCACTATAGTGTCATCTTTACATTCTGGCAATAATGGCAGGCTAATTAATTCACTATAGTGACATCATTACTGGCAGGCTAATTCATTCACTATAGTGTCATCATTACAGTCTGGCAATAATGGCAGGCTAATTCATTCACTATAGTGTCATCTTTACAGTCTGGCAATAATGGCAGGCCAATTCATTCAGTATAGTGACATCATTACAGTCTGGCAATAATGACAGGCTTATTCATTCACTATAGTGTCATCATTACAGTCTGGCAATAATCGCAGGCTAATTCATTTAGTATAGTGTCATCTTGACAGTATGGCAATAATTGCAGGCTAATTCATTCAGTATAGTGTCATCTTGACAGTATGGCAATAATGGCAGGCTAATTCATTCAGTATAGTGTCATCTTGACAGTATGGCAATAATGGCAGGCTAATTCATTTAGTATAGTGTCATTATTAAAGTCTTGCAATAATGGCAGGCTAATTCATTCAGTATAGTGTCATCATTACAGTCTGGCGATAATGGCAGGCTAATTCATTCAGTATAGTGACATCATTACAGTCTGGCAATAAAGGCAGGCCAATTCATTTAGTATAGTGTCATCATTACAGTCTGGCAATAATGGCAGACTATTTCATTCAGTATAGTGTCATTATTAAAGTTTGGCAATAATGGCAGGCTAATTCATTCAGTATAGTGTCATCTTGACAGTATGGCAATAATGGCAGACTAATTCATTCAGTATAGTGTCATCTTGACAGTATGGCAATAATGGCAGGCTAATTCATTCAGTATAGTGTCATCTTGACAGTATGGCAATAATGGCAGACTAATTCATTCAGTATAGTGTCATCTTGACAGTATGGCAATAATGGCAGACTAATTCATTCAGTATAGTGTCATCTTGACAGTATGGCAATAATGGCAGGCTTATTCATTTAGTATAGTGTCATTATTAAAGTCTTGCAATAATGGCAGGCTAATTTATTCAGTATAGTGTCATCATTACAGTCTGGAAATAAAGGCAGGCTAATTCATTCAGTATAGTGTCATCTTTATAGTCTGGAAATAAAGGCAGGCTAATTCATTCAGTATAGTGTCATCATTACAGTCTGGCAATAATGGCAGGCTAATTCATTCACTATAGTGTCATCTTTATAGTCTGGAAATAAAGGCAGGCTAATTCATTTAGTATAGTGTCATCATTACAGTCTTGCAATAATGGCAGGCTAATTCATTCACTATAGTGTCATCTTTATAGTCTGGAAATAAAGGCAGGCTAATTCATTCAGTATAGTGTCATCATTACAGTCTGGCAATAATGGCAGGCTAATTCATTCACTATAGTGACACCATTACAGTCTGGCAATAATAGCAGGCTAATTCATTCAGTATAGTGTCATCATTACAGTCTGGCAATAATGGCAGGCTAATTCATTCACTATAGTGACATCATTACAGTCTGGCAATAATGGCAGGCTAATTCATTCACTATAGTGTCATCTTTACAGTCTGGCAATAATGGCAGGTCATTTCATTCAGTATAGTGTCATCTTGACAGTCTTGCAATAATGGCAGGCTAATTCATTTAGTATAGTGTCATTATAAAAGTCTTGCATTAATGGCAGGCTAATTCATTTAGTATAGTGTCATCATTACAGTCTTGCAATAATGGCAGGCTAATTCATTTAGTATAGTGTCATCATTAAAGTTTGGCAATAATGGCATGTCATCATTAAAGTCTGGCAATAATGGCAGAAGTCTTGCATTAATGGCAGGCTGATTTACATGTATTCAGTATAGTGTTATCATTACAGTCTGGCAATAATGGCAGGTCATTTCATTCAGTATAGTGTCATCTTGACAGTCTTGCAATAATGGCAGGCTAATTCATTCAGTATAGTGTCATCATTACAGTCTGGCAATAATGGCAGGCTAATTCATTTAGTATAGTGTCATTATAAAAGTCTTGCATTAATGGCAGGCTGATTTACATGTATTCAGTATAGTGTTATCATGACAGTCTTGCAATAATGGCAGGCTAATTCATTTAGTATAGTGTCATTATAAAAGTCTTGCATTAATGGCAGGCTAATTCATTTAGTATAGTGTCATCATTACAGTCTTGCAATAATGGCAGGCTAATTCATTTAGTATAGTGTCATTATAAAAGTCTTGCATTAATGGCAGGCTAATTCATTTAGTATAGTGTCATCATTAAAGTTTGGCAATAATGGCGTGTCATCATTAAAGTCTGGCAATAATGGCAGAAGTCTTGCAATAATGGCAGGCTGATTTACATGTATTCAGTATAGTGTTATCATTACAGTCTGGCAATAATGGCAGGCTAATTCATTCAGTATAGTGTCATCATTACAGTCTGGCAATAATGGCAGGCTAATTCATTTAGTATAGTGTCATCATTAAAGTTTGGCAATAATGGCGTGTCATCATTAAAGTCTGGCAATAATGGCAGAAGTCTTGCAATAATGGCAGGCTGATTTACATGTATTCAGTATAGTGTTATCATTACAGTCTGGCAATAATGGCAGGCTAATTTATTCAGTATAGTGTTATCATTACAGTCGGGCAATAATGGAAGGCTAATTTATTCAGTATACTGTCAGCTATACTGTATTGCAATATTCTGTATTCACCATGAATATTGCATAATGCAGAAATATGGAAATTACTTAGGAATTGTGCAAAATGTAAGCTAAATTGTTCAAATTTATAATGGAAACAAGTAATTACTTAGGAATTGTGCAAAATATAAGCTTAATTGTGCAAATTTATGATGGAAACAAGTAATTACTTAGGAATTGTGCAAAATGTAAGCTTAATTGTGCAAATTTATGATGGAAACAAGTAATTACTTAGGAATTGTGCAAAATGTAAGCTTAATTGTGCAAATTTATAATGGAAACAAGTAATTACTTAGGAATTGTGCAAAATGTAAGCTTAATTGTGCAAATTTATGATGGAAACAAGTAATTGCTTAGGAATTGTGCAAAATGTAAGCTTAATTGTGCAAATTTATGATGGAAACAAGTCTAAACCTATAGCATGTTCAGTAAATGGTCAATATATTTTGAAGTAAACCATTTCAAAGAAGTAAAATAGTACATTGAAAGTATTTGAAGAAAGTCTTTGCTATAAAGATCAATTGTTAGAATGACAGTCATGCATACAGAAGGTGATTTTTATGCTTTGTCGATTACAATAATGGACATAATACTTTATTGCTTTTGTATGCCTGAAAAATTTGCTTAACTAACAGTCATATGCACTAATTCATTTTTTTCAAATTTGTTTTCCATCAAATATATTGGTCCATTTATCAAACATTTAACACCATAGCTTTGCACAATTGGCATTCGTTTTTGCTTATTTTCACATTTCTGCATTATGGGATATTTTGCTGGCTGCTTATTTTTGGAATTCTGATCCGGGTATTGAACAATGAAAGGACATAATGACACTTTATTGAAGGTATTTGCCTGCCATTAATGCAAGACTGTATAGATGGCAGAACATAGACATAAAACAGATGAATGCTGATTTTAGAACGGGTTGTATATATCCTCATATCTTGTATTCAAAGCAATTTGGGGTAATGACATATTATAACCTTTTTTCTCAACTTGAAATGAAGTTTAAGCATTTAAGATATCTTGAATTTTTTGTTAACAGATAACCATCAGCTGACAGTACAACCAGATGAGAAAGCAACAGATAACTTCCATTTTGACAGATTTAAAAAACAAATGAGAAGATGATAGATTACAAATGATGAAAGATAACTGCTAACTTATGAATGTATTGTTACTTTCTTGATAGTAGTGGTGATAGGCAGGTGTCAACCACCAGTATAAAGACATGCCACTTTGACAGTATAACCTTGCTGTTGAGTGTTAGTGCTCACTTTGTGTTATAAATATAATGTACCAAAATCTAACAATTGATATTACCAACTCTTAAAGCAGGAAAAGCCAACTCAATAAATTCAGAGAGAAAATGTACTATATGTACAGTGGATGGTGACATTCTTGTCCTGCAACATGTTTGTACAATGTACTACTAGTTTATATTGACTTAAATATCAATAATCTTATATGATTGGTGTACTAGTCTTTCAGTGAGAATTCTTGCAAATAGAAGAATTAATTAGGATGAAAATTATTTGTTCAAAGTATCTGTTTCAGTGTCATTATTGCTGTCTAAAGAATGACCTAAATCAAATAACAAATAAGAGTAGTCGTTGTTGAGAATGATGGTTCCAAATAAATGGATGAAAATTTCAAATAGGCTTTATTTTGTCTTAACAATTGATGTCTTTATACTTAATGTTTTTAAAAAAAATTAAATATCTTGTTCCGAATTCCAAGCAGGCATTCAACAGAAAGAATCAAGTAATCATTGCATAATAATTGCCATACTTGTTCCAAACTTTGTTGCTTTGCATGTTGTAAGAAGTAGTGATGTTCCGATTGTCGCAAGTTGCCGATAATCAGTTACTGTTATGTAAAGCGACAATAATCGATTCACAAAAATTGTTCCACGACGTCGTTGAAAATGTTTAAAGTATCAAAGGGAATTAAGTCTGATGGTAATTTTCTTTTAGGAACACCTCGCCGTTCTAAAACAATTATCTCAGAGACAATTTGGAGTTGAAAAGGATCAATACTTGATGTAAACAATAGTTAATATGTCATGTGAATGTTATTATTTGACATCCATTGGAAAATAAAATCTATTTCGTAAAATTACGACTATATAAGGTTAAAACTGTGATGAAAAGTGCTAAATGAAGTTCATGTTACTGAATATAATCAAGTGCCTTGTGAAGAAATGTTACTTCCCATTTTTAGCTCACCTGTCACAAAGTGACAGGGTGAGCTTTTGTAAAAAAAAAGATCACTTTTCGTCCGGCCGTCCGTAAACTTTTACTTTAAATGACATCTCCTCATAAACCACTAAGCCAATTTCATCCAAACTTCACAGGAATGTTCCTTTGGTGGTCACCTTTAAAAAGTGTTCAAAGAATTTAATTCCATGCAGAACTCTGGTTGCCATGGCAACCGAAAGAAAAAACTTTAAATATCTTCTTTTAAAAAACCCAAAGAGCTAGAGCTTAGATATTTGGCATGAAACATCTTCTAGTGAGTGTCTACCAAGTTTGTACAAATAAAAGCCCTGGGGTCAAAATTGGCCCCGCCCCAGGGGGTCATTGATTTTCCCTATATGCATATAGTAAAAACTTAAAAAATCTTCTTTTAAAGAACCCATAGAGCTAGAGCTAAGATATTAGGCATGAAACATCTTCTAATAAGTGTCTACCAAGTTTGTTCAAATAAAAGCCCAAGGGTCAAAATTGGCCCCGCCCCAGGGGGTCATTGATTTTCACTATATGCATATAGTAAAAATTAAAAAAATCTTCTTTTAAAGAACCCATAGAGCTAGAGCTAAGATATTTAGCATGAAACATCTTCTGATAAGTGTCTACCAAGTTTGTTCAAATAAAAGCCCTGTGGTCAAAATTGGCCCTGCCCCGGGGGTCATTGATTTTCCCCATATGCATATAGTAAAAACTTATAAAATCTTCTTTTAAAGAACCCAAAGAGCTAGAGCTAAGATATTTAGCATGAAACATGTTCTAATGGGTGTCTACCAAATTTGTTCAAATAAGAGCCCTGGGGTCAAAATTTGCCCTGCCCCGGGGGTCATTGATTTTCCTTATATGTGTAAAGCAAAAACTTTAAAAAAAAAATCTTCTTTGAAAAAAAAACAAATAGCTAGAGTTTTGTTACTAAGCATGAAACATCTTCTATTGACTGTCTACAAAGTTTGTTCATATAAAAGCCCTTGGGTCAAAATTTGCCTCGCCCCGGGGGTCATTGATTTTATTTATGTGTATAGCAAAAACTTCTTTGAAAAAACCCAAATAGCTAGAGTTAAGATATTAAGCATGAAACATCTTCCAGTTAGTGTCTTCAAAGTTTGTTCAAATAAAAGCCCTAGGGTCAAAATTGGCCCTGCCCCGGGGGACATTGATTTTCCTTATATGTGTATAGCAAAAACTTAAAAATCTGATTTAAAAAAAACCAAATAGCTAGAGTTTAGATATTAAGCATGAAACATCTTCTAGTGAGTGTCAAATGGGGTCAAAACTGGCCCCGCCCTAGGGGTGTCATTGCTTTTAACTATATGTGTATAGTTAAATCTTAAAAAATCTTTTTTTAAAAAACTCAACGAGCCAAACCTTAGATGTTTAGCATGAAATATCTTCTAATGGGTGTCTACCAAGTTTGTTCAAACAAAAGCCCTGGGGTTTAAACTGGCCCCGCTCTGGGGGCCTATACTATATACAGGTGAGCGACTTCAGGGCCATCATGGCCCTCTTGTTTATAAAGTTATAAGATTTGCCTTGGTGCTTCCTTTACTGCTATTTTCAGAATTATATAACATATGTTGTTTGGAAAATGTCTTCTGTATACCAAATATCAAAAGAAAACAAAAAGCATAATACTATAGTATATGCATCATTATAACAAACCAAAAAAAAATTTTCTAATGAGGTTTATAATATCATATAGTAGCAGCTGTTTGTGCTAATTCATAACAGATTTTTTTTTTCAATTTCGAGTTACTTTAAGATACATTGGTCTGTTTTCTTAGTGTGTTTGTTGTTTGTTGAATTTCACTGCTGAATTTTCACATTCCTGCATTACAGCAGTGTATGAAATCATCTACTTCAACCACAAAACAATCTGTTGATCATTTACAATCACCCTGTTCATCACTTCTGTATTGTGCAGAAACTGTTCAAATCACTTCCCACTTCAAGCCACTTAACACTATATTGTCTACAAATCTATATATATAAAATGAGCAAAAAAGTTGCATGTAATAAATATTTTAATCTTAAAAAAAAAAGAAAAAAAGTTTTTTCATCAATGATGATCTTTTAGGTGATCTTCAATTGCTCTTTGTTGAGCCTTTAATTCTTCCATTCTTAAACCAATAGTAGAGATAATTTCCTGTCTTTGTTGATCTGTGAGTTTATCCAGCAATTGTCTATATTCTGTCAATGTTTCTTCTACAGCTTTTTGAGCATCTTCTAAATCTTCACTAAAATATACTGTGTCTTGACTTTCTCTCTGAAAGATGAAAAATATGAATTAATTGGCATTTGATATAGAGGCAATGATTTAATCTTATTTGTCACATACGAGGGATGATCCAAATTAACTAAAAGAATAAAATACAACAGAAAAATAATATATTACTTAAAAATTGCAAGAGTGCAATGTGATTCTAGAACCACAGTAACATGTATGCAGCGCATTTTGATTTTCCAACAAATAACCAAATGTTAACATACATAATTATTACATGTATCTATTCAAGAAAAATTCATGACAGAGGAGAGTGCCAAACAAAGCCACATCACAGTCTGATATGCTGATGCTATTCTGTCAAAGTTTGAGGTAATCTGAATGATGTGATTTTAAAACAACAACATTGTGATTCATGGTGAGGTGTTACCAGAGTTTCTACATTTAAAGCTTGAAAATATTACTTTTAGGGAAATCCGTGAAATTATTTAGTTCTGCCTTATCTAGTAAACATTTCAAAATGAACGCTTAAGATGACTGAATTTCAACCAATTTTCTAAAAGCAATAAATAAATGGTTTAAATAAATCTTTAAAAAGAAAATTAAAGAGTAAAACATCCAGTTTATCCTTTTTCTTATTTTAATTGGTCTGTCTAGACACATTTGTTGTTTTGTCGAGGTGTGAATCATTTCCATAACTCAATGAATAAGTTAAGAAAATATTGCAAAATTCAATCATCTGACCTTGACAGTTAAGGTCATAGTTTAAAGGTCAACACATTTATGCTCAAGCAGCTAATGTATGTTTACTCATGATGATTTTGGAAATTTCGTTGGCACAAAATATGTTGACCTGGGAATTTTAAGGTAGTTGTTTGATAATTAACTTATCGTAAATGAGGAAAGATGGCTCAATATTTAACGGTTGCTGAAAGAGATATGCTATGTTTATGTCTTATTTTTAAAAACTGCAAGAGCATGTTGACCGGGTCTTGGAAATACACTACGGTGAGTAAACTTGTATATAATTTATAAAGCAAACAGATGCTGTATAGTTATTTTGTTCTTGATGATCAAGGGGTGATAATTTTATGATAATTTGACCATTATTGGCATGGCAAACATGCCGAACGTCTGTGGTTTTGCAGTAGTGACCAATCAACGCGCCAAATAACTGTGCACAGTGCTATCAGAAAAGCTCAACTCTAGCCTAGGTTTGCTAAAACGCGTCAATCGAATCTTGGAGTAACTATGCAACTCTATATGAGTTTACTGGAATCTTACCGCATCAGTTAACAATTCTCGTGCTTCAGAAAATTTGTATGTCAAATTGTCAACAAGTTTCTTTAATTCAGGAGCTTCCACGCATTTGTCATTCCACAAAACTGATTGGCATGTGAAACTTCTACAAACTAAAGATGTTTCCAATTTTCGGACTGTCTGTAAGGTTAAAGCATTTGATCTTACTGCAGCTTGACATCTTAAAAACATTGTCCTTATTATGGAGGCTGCCATCTTGTGTACAGTAAAATATACTTTCCATGATAATCACTATAGAGCGCAGTAAAGGTCAGACTAATGTACTGATTATTCCATAGACATATATTATGAGAAATGGTCCCTAATCTTACCTTAAATTGTGTTTTCATGCTAAAGAGGTAATTTTTCTATCAGAAAAAAAATGCCTTACACATAAAAATGATCTTGTAACATTTTTTTTCTGAGTGGACAGGATTGAGTAGCTTGGGTAGCCTATCACACTATACTTTTAAACCCCCATGCATGGCCATGATTAACGTACATGTATCATAAATAAACATAGCCATTAAGAAGAAGGGGTAGCCAACCACATTTTTTACCAAAATGACTCCAAAGAGTATTACCCCCCTTTTCATTGAAATGTTCTGCTGATCACAGGACTGACATACACTTTTTCAAATGCAAATATCAGTCACGCAAAGTCAGTTCCATAGAGCTTTGACCAATTGACTAGATATTGTTATACTGTGTTAGAAATAACTCATAGAATCAAGATCTCGCACCTTCTGCACCCATACCAATTAAATAAGCATCAAACATTATCATTGGTATTATGTATGAAAATGTAAATACATTTGGTAACGTAAAATCTCCAATAAATCAACACAGCCCGAAGTCAATCTGATCTTTGCGCCACTCTTGAAAATCCATTTACTTCAATCATATTTGTACGATATCTCTATTTTTCTTTGGAGCAAAATATATGGTGTCCATTACCAAGTGACATCACTTTTTTTCCCTATGAAAACAATATTTAGTTAATGATAAAGGTAATTATAGCAAAAAAAACCGAAAAACCCTGAAATTACAATAATTTGACTTTCAAGGTCAAGGTCACTGATTAGTAAAGGTCACAATCAATTTAATCTACTTTAAAACCTTGTCCAAAGAATTATCATGTCCAAGAATGAAGCTATGCACAAAAGTACACAATCTAGTCCCAAACATCACATTTGACATACAAAGGTGACCTTGACATTGAACTGGAGACCTGACCCTATGCAGTACACATCATGTCTTAAACATTTACCAGTATGCAAATCATTTTAAAATCCATCCAGGAATGACAGAAATGTTGACTGGACTCTTATGAAAAAAAATCATATCATGACATTGGAATACAAGTGTGACCTTGACCTTTGAGGTAGGGACCAGATTCATGCACATGCCACACATTAAGGCATAATATTTTTCAAATCTATCCAGGAATAACAGAATTTTTGACTAGACACGAACATCAGTGTAGATTTATAGAAATTTATATCTACAAGTGGGTAGGGACCCAATTCTTGCTCATGACATGTCATAATTATGTCCAACACATTTATGCATAATAATATTTAAATCCATCCATCAATGATCACACAGAGTCATAATAATAAAAAACAAAACAGATTTTCTCTAAATATTTTAATTATATCATATTGCACTTTATATAAAAATATCTCTCATTTTGTAAGAGCAACATTTTATCACATTTATATGTACTAATGTGTCTGACTTATGAGAACACTTAAAGTTTGCAACCTCTTATCATGCTTAACTCTGCAAAAGATATTAACAGTATCACACAAGGCTGATGTATGCAAACCTCTTTCCTAACTGACAGCTCATCACGTTAATTATGTAGGATGGCAAAATATAACAGACAATGATATGGTTTTGAGACACATTTAAGGTATAATTCTTGTATTATTGAACTCTCCATCCTATACCTAAGAAACAATTCATAATTAAATGTCTTTGATTAAGTTCCTCATTCAGATAGTTTACTAACATAAACAATCATTGTTGACAACCATACAAAATCTTTGGCTGCCATAAACCAATCATATAGTGTAGGATTCTGAGAATTGTTTCTTGTATGTCACACATTACACTAATACGAGAAAACTTTTTTAACTTGTTATTTGACATTCTGATCCAGTACTTAAACAATAGCTAATCAAATATGCTGCTTAGATGCAGACAGGATGTGTTTCTTGTATTGATCACTTAGACCCCTCATCCAATAACTAAGCAACTTTTTATCATCATCAGTAGCACCAACAATTTTCAGCAGATTTTTTGTGTCTTCTTCACTACGGCTGCCACCAGCTTTCGTAAATTTGAACAGTACCTTTACTTTGCTGAAGGAAAAAAGAAAGAAGAAACTATTATAGAAAAATATACAATGTACATAAAAAATATAACTACTTTCAAGCAAAATATTTGACCAGTAAATACCTAACTACAATCACCTTTCCAAAACTAAAATTTAAAATCATGCAAGATGTCGTCAATAAAAATTCCTTTCAAGATAACAGACCATCTAAGAATGTTACAGACAAAGTTTTGTGATCATCCATAAATTAGTTTAGTAAAAAAAAAATGTTTTAAGGTTTTTTTATTTTTAGCTCTGTTGATGCCTAAAAGATGCCAATTGAAATTTAACGTGTGATTGTCACAAGGATGCTACAGTCCAAATTTGAAGTAATTTGCCCAGCAGTTCAGAGAAGATGATGAATGTTGGTGTATGACGCCGGATGCTGGAGCATCTCCTTTTGATACTATTAATAACTCACCCTGGACCTTCCGTTCTGGTGAGCTAAAAAAGGCCATAACTTTTCAAAATATAATTTTTGGATTATCTGACCTTGTGATAAGGCATCATATGTTGGTAACTAGAGCACCACTAAGGCAGGGTAATATATTCCCAAATGAAAAATTTGTTTGAGTTAGGAAACTTCAGCAAAAAAGTTTAATCTTAAATATCCTTATAAAATACTAAATGACCCTGAGAGTTGATGCATTTTTTTACCATTAGTGCATAATTCATAGAAATTTTGTAGGAATCTACTAGGCAATGGTACATGCTAAATATATAAGCATTGTGTACTTAAAAGTTTTTATCAAAAAGATTAGATTTGTTTTCTTATTTATTAGTCTACATGAGGCATGTGACCCAAGGGCAGGGCCAATTTTGACCTTAGGGCCATAAATGATATCACTTTTGTAGGATGCTACATGCCAAAAATCTAAACTTTGGGCTGAAGAAATGTATATTATATAAGTCTACTTAACAAAAAGATCCCCAAGGTGGGACCAAATTTCACCCCAGCATCATAATTTATGAAACTTTTAGATAGGTTCATTAATCAAATTTAAATGTGTATTCCTATACAAGTCTATATTAACTAAGGGATCCTTGGGGCAAAGCCAATATTGACACAAGGGACAGTGTTAACATCAGTTTTGTAAATGTCCACCAAGCAATGCTGAAGGTCAAATATCTAAGCTCTTGGCATTGTAGTATAACAAGAACATGTTTAACCTTTTACAGGTCACTGTGACCTTGACCTTTTGACCATAATATTTGTGTCACAGAACTCATCAAAGTGCATTCACATATGATGTTTCAATATTATGCCTTTATAAGTATTGAACTAGATGGGCTTCATTTGCAAAAACATATGTCTCCCAAAACTATGTATGGTCACTCCAGTGAATTTTGGTGGAAATCCTGCCAGCAGTTTAACCTGTAATGGGTGTCTGTCTTAGTTTCAAGTTTTTTGACTGTGTTAATTTTGTAAGTTAATTTTACTTTTTAAATTGCTGGTTAAAATGATGCACTGATGAAAGTATTATGTTTAATGATAAATAAAATGAATTGTATGAATGTTCAGTATATGTGTTTATATATGTTAAAATTGTGATAACCATTTAATCATTTCATTTACATGTTATATTTTCTTTGATTGATATGTGTTCTTTTGTGTGTGTGTTTTTATTTTTATTTATTTTTTAATTTTATTTTTTTTTTTTTTATTTTAGAAGGCCGCATTGTAAATAAGATGTTGCAATCTGTATATGTCTTAATGTGTTACCTTCGGTAAATAAAGTTATTATTATTATTATTATTATTATTATAGCCGGACAGGATTTTCTATTTATAGCTCTGACAGTGATTTTGTGCAGCAATGCAGAACATGCCGGCAATATGCACAATTAGGGATGGTAATGATCCCTCTTGTGAGGTATTATTGAAATCCTACCAATAGTTTGACCTGTGAAGGCTAGACAAGTTTTTTCAATTTTTATCTCCGGCGGCCATTTTGTGCAGCAGAGCGGAACGTGCCGTGATATGCACAACTAGGGATGGTACTTATCACTCCTGTAAAGTTTGGTTGAAATCCCACCAGTAGTTTGACCTGTGAAAGCTAGACAAGATTTTTCTATTTTTAGCTCTTGTGGCCATTTCATGCAGCGAAGCAAAACAGTGATGTGCACAATTTGGGAGGTTACTGATCACTCCAGTCCTGTAAAGTTTAGTTGAAATCCCACCAGTAGTTTGACCTGTGAAAGCTGGAGAAAATTTTTATATTTTAAGCTCTGGTGACCATTTTCTGCAGCGAAGCAGAATATGCCGGCGATATGCACAACTAAGGATGGTACTGATCACTCCTGTAAAGTTTGGTTGATATTCCAAAAAAAGTTTGACCTGCGAAAGCTGGACAAGATCAGGGCTCACGCTGTCGGTCGCCATGGTCGCCATTTGCGATAATTTTATATTATTGGCGATTATTATTGCATTTTGGCTACAAAAACTGGCGATTATTTTTTACTTCCAACAGTGTTTATATAAGGTGTAAAAATCAATAAAGAATGCAGTAAACCTAATTAACACCAGCGGGGTGGATTTAATCGAGTGTCAACTTTTAATCAGTCATCCGATGGTTACTATTGCCCGAGTTGTTATACATGCCAGCTGTAAATTTGTATAAGTTCTTTATAGATATTGTCCAACATTATAATAGACATCAAATATCCACCAATTAGCCACAGACATTGTCTTCAAATTGATAAACTGTATATTAACCAATCCAAAATTTGCTGTTCATAGCCGTTAATGTAAATTTTGATATTATTTTGTTTTAAGCTGCTTGACTAAATCGTCAGTGGAAAACAATGATAAAATATTTCAAAAGTATTTACTTCAAAACAATTAAATGCACAACAACCAAAATTGTGAATATTTCCAAATTCAATTGTCACATATTTTCGTGACACCGATATTTTTTTATTATTTAAAGGTGAAAAAAGCTATGTTTTGTTTAAAAATCTTTACTATTACGACAAAAAATTTGTATTACATTGGTGATGATGACATTTTTTAGTAAGTTTCTCACAAAAAAAAGCTGCATTCTGAACCAGTGTGAACCCTGCAAGATTTTTCTATTTTTAGCTCTGGCGGCCATTTTGTGCAGCAAAGTGAAATGTGCCAGTGATGTGCACAACTAGGGATGGTACTGATCACTCCTGTAAAGTTTAGTTGAAATCCCACAAGCAGTTTGACCTGTGAAAACCGGAGAAAATTTTTCTATTTCTAGCTCTGGCGGCCATTTTGTTTAGCAAAGCTAAATGTGCCGGCGATATGCACAACTAGGGATGGTACTGATCACTCCTGTAAAGTTTGGTGGAAATCCCACTAGTTGTTTGACCTGTGAAGGCTGGATAAGTTTTTTCTATTTTTAGCTCTGGTGGCCATTTTGTGCAACGAAGCAGAACATGCCGGTGACATGCATAACTAGGGATGGTACGGATCACCCCTGTAAAGTTTGGTTGAAATCCCACCAGTTGTTTGACCTGTGAAGGCAGGACAAGCTTAATGCAGGAAGACAGACAACCAAACAGAGGGCGAAGGCAAAAACAATATGTCTCCCAAAATGTTTTGGAGACATAATTAATGACCATAAGTTTATGGCATAAGTAAAAACTTTATCAAAAAGGTTGACATGTAAATGTTAATGCTCATAGCAAGAAGTGGGTCATGACAATACCTCTAGCTTTTTTCTTCAAAAATCAGTTATCCCTTTTTAGGCAGTTTTGTAAAAAAAAGCATCATTAAGGAAAGATTATAAACTACATTAATATATAGAAATGACTCACTTCATCCATTCTTCTTTTAAACAGACCAGACAAAGATCTGCTGCATCCATACATAAGTCCTCATTTCTGATAGCATACTCCATCTTACTTAGAATGCAGGGAGCTGAAATAAAAATTATAACAAAGTTAAGAGCTATGGTGCGGGTAGGTAGGGGTGTAAAGTTAAAGTAGCATACATTAATCACTCAACTGTGCATGAATTTATTCAATCTAAATTTTTTTCATTTTTTGCCATTTTTTACTTTTGGGTTTTCAAATTTTCTATTTTTTTACAAATTCAACAGTGGACTTATCACAGCTGCCTAAAGAAGTAATCAGATTTACATCCCTATCAATTTGTATATGAAGATGGTAAAAATACCCATTTATGCAACACTCAACAATTTTGAATACCAGTGGTGATAAATGTAGTAATACAGTAAGCAGGAATGTGTCCATAATGTTAATAAGGTAGTTAAAAAGTTTTGTCTCAAAACAAAATTAAACAGCCAATTAAAACAAGAGCCACTTCCGGGTGGGGGCAACGTTTGACTTTTTTGTTACTTTTTCTAAATGTAAACAAATAAAAGGTTGTAGCAAATCTTTAAAAAGAAAATTAAAAAAAATTGTTTTCCTTTTTTTAAATTTCAATAATAGTCAAACTTGTTGTTTTGCCCCAAGTATGAATTATTACAATAATGTTCAATGATCAATTTTACATCTGAAACTGTGCAAATGTTCCAAATTTCATAGCTGTACATCAAAGGACAAGAAAGTATTTGTTCTTTATTTCAATGGTTGTTTGATCTGCTTTTAAGACCATTCTGCTTATCTACTAATATAACCACTAAATTCAGGCACAATATTTATTTTGAGGTTTAATTTTCATCCTTCTCCTTGTACAACACTAAACAGTAAGAACAGAAGTAGATATCTATCTAGGTATCAAGTGAATTTGGGGTTTAAGGTCATACTCCAACATTTCAAATGAAAGACAATGTGCAGATGAGTCTAATGTTCAGATTCAAAGGCCATAGTATAATAACTGATTCAAAATAAAATTACTTGACAAAAAATTTGGTATTTACAGCATTACATAGCTGTGGGATGTCAATGGTTGCTATGGAAAGTCACTGGTTGCTATGGAAAGTCAATAATTTCTATGGAAGTCTATGGTTGCCATAATTTGAATATTTTTTGTTTAGGTTCACCACACTATGTTTCATGTTAAATATCATAAGATATAGCCTGAGCAGTTTTCAAGAAGATTTTTTAAGTATTTACTTCATATAAGGAAAATTTACATTTCCCTGGGGTGGGGCCAATTTTAATTCAAGGGCTATAATTTGAACAAACTCAGTAGAGGTCTACTAGATGTTTCATGTAAAAAAGTAAGCTTTAGCTATTGTAGTTTTAGAGAAGACTTTTTTTAAAATTATTACTATATACATTTAAGGAAAATCTATGTTTCCCCATGGCGGGGCAAATATTGACCCAAGGGCTATAATATGAACAATTTTTGTAGAGAGAGGTCCACCAGATATCAAATTCATACCAAATATCTAAGCTAAAGCCTCTATAGTGTAACAGAAGAAGTTTTTTTTATTTGTTATATACATTACACATAAGGAAAATGAATGACTCCCTTGGGCAGGTCAATCTGCAGATGCTGCACTAGCATAAAAAGGCCACACATTTCTTGATTATAACAACAAGGCAACGACTATTTAATTTATGTCACCCTATCCATTTGCCACTAATACGGAAGGGATTTTATTTCCCTTGCATAAGAATATAAACGGCTGAATCAAGCTTAAAACTCATAAATCAGACCATCCAGCAATTAAGACCACTTTAGAGCAGTCTGGTGGATTGCCTTAACTGAGGGTTTTCACTATATTTTAAATCTCATGAATTCTTTTACAAAACCTTACAATTTTCTGTGAATAAATTGAAAAATGGTTACAAAATTCTCTACTGTAAACATATCATGATTTAAGAATAAACTGTTTAGCTCACCTCTACCTAGATTCACCTCACTGCTAAACTTAAATCTGTAATTCTCTAGAGATTTCTCATCAGAAGATTGTCTGTTATCTGGTTCATATATATCCACCAATAGAAATGGCTCGTTCTTACTCACATGTGCTGGTATGGATACAGCTGGATTCAAACCAAGAAAGTTACAAAGGTAAGACTCAACATATACATCACTGTGTGGCTTAACACAGTAACAACCTTTTGGTAGTAAACACTGAAAGAAAGAAAAATTAAACACAATCTTGATTCATTTATTTTCTTCAGTTATACACCATTTTATGATTATAAATTTCCATTTCTTGTAATTCAATACTCTTTAAACTTAGGTAACACCCTTACTGGCATTGAATTGTTTGAGATATTATGGTTAACACAGGGTTCGTACAGACATCCAATATTATGGTTAACACAGGGTTTGTACAGACATCCAATATTATGGTTAACACAGGGTTTGTACAGACATCCAATATTATGGTTAACACAGGGTTTGTACAGACATCCAATATTATGGTTAACACAGGGTTTGTACAGACATCCAATATTATGGTTAACACAGGGTTTGTACAGACATCCAATATTATGGTTAACACAGGGTTTGTACAGACATCCAATATTATGGTTAACACAGGGTTTGTACAGACATCCAATATTATGGTTAACACAGGGTTTGTACAGACATCCAATATTATGGTTAACACAGGGTTTGTACAGACATCCAATATTATGGTTAACACAGGGTTTGTACAGACATCCAATATTATGGTTAACACAGGGTTTGTACAGACATCCAATATTATGGTTAACACAGGGTTTGTACAGACATCCAATATTATGGTTAACACAGGGTTTGTACAGACATCCAATATTATGGTTAACACAGGGTCTGTACAGACGTTAACACAGGGTTTGTACAGACGTTAACACAGGGTTTGTACAGACATCCAATGCTAAAATTCAAGTACTTTAGTTTAAGCATAATTTGTTGCACATAATTATATCATTTAAAACCAATGATAAAGTAAATTTTCTTCAACCCCATATTATCAGCCATTTTTGTTGAATACACACTTTCTGATTGACATCTTACAGTTTCTCAAGAAAAACAGCAAAAGCGCAACTATGATATATTCTTACCCAAACTACATGTAGTTCGAATCTAGAGTAATTCATCCCCTTACTATTACTGTTGAGCAAACATTTCATTAATTTTGGTACTAAATTTGATTGTTTTGATTTTTTGTTAAATGTAAAGTAAACCCCACACAAAAAAATGAGCCAATCAATGGGTATGCTCTGGAGTGCTGGTAACTAATACCTGCACTCCAGTTAATGCACTGTGCATGTATATGTATATGATTTAACTCTGACAGATTTTCAACAAAAAGGTCCCCACACTATGATACAATATATGCATAAATTTAATGAATCATGTAGGCCTCCTTAACGACAGCTAATTTGTTATATTACATAACACCTTGCATTTTTAGTTCAATAAAAAATATCAACCATTGAACCAAGGCAACGTGAGTTGTTGAGTTATTTGTCAGAAATACATACAAGGTCAATGTGACTTTGACCTTTGACCCTTAAAGCAATAGGGGTTATCTACTGGCAAAGACTAATGTACCTGTGAAGTTTGAAGGGAAAGGGCCAATGACTTGTTGAGATATTAATTTGAAAAAGTTTTTACCAATAAGGTCAACGTGATCTTGACCTCTGACTCCTTGACCCTAAAAATCCATTAAAAGAAACACATTTGTGAAGTCTGACGGTCGCAGGAATCATGGGTTGTCTAGTTATTGATAGGAAACTTTTTTGACATACAAGGTCAATGTGACCTTAACCTTTGACCCCCCTGGTCAAGACCAATGCACCTATGCAGTTGACAGCCTAAAGCCCATGGGTTGTCAAGTAATTGATCACAAATTGTTTTACCTACAATATGAACTTGACCTTTGACCCCAAAATCAATAGGGGTCATCTACTTGCCAATACCAATACACCTACAAAGTTTGAGGGCCAACAGCCCATGGGTTGTCAAGATATTGATTGGAAACCGTTTTTACCTTCAATGTCAATGCGACCTTGACCTTAGACCCCTTGACTAAACAATCAAAAGGGGTCATCTTCTGGTCATGAACAATACCCAAACCAAGTTTGCAGTTCCTAGGCATAAGCATTCTTTAGTTATTGATCAGGAGGGAGGGGGAGCAAAAAAATAAAATTGTACAAAGAGCAAATAGTTAAATAATACAAACAAGCCAATGCCTTGTGAAAAAATCTAAGCTCTAGCCCTTTCCATTTTGAAGTATAAGAATTTTTTTGTTTTCTTTTAGTTGCCATAACAACCAAAGTTTTGCATGGAATGGAATTCTTTGAACAATCTTGATAGAGCTTCATACAAAGAGTATCCCTGCCAAGTTTCATTAACATTGGCTTGTGGTATCATAGAAGATGTCGTTTGAATAAATGTGGATGACGGACGCAAATGATGAGCCATCATAATAGCTCACCTGCACTATGTGCAAGGTGAGCTAAAAAAAAAACCTGATACATATAAATGAAAATTGTTTAACAAACAACAATTTACTAGCATTGACAGTGCAAAGAGTAATTTCTTACTGTAAGGGAATCAAAAAATGTCCTGATGAGGGTTTTGCCTGTGCCTCTCAATATTACTTGGTTACCAATGACAACATGATGTGATAAAATGTGTAACTTCTCTCCTCCCAGCAACTGTAATACAATACATACTTTGAAAACATGAAGTCAGTACTAAATTTAAGAAATTTGAAGACATGCATAGGCTATGAAAAGTCAATGGCTGCTATGAAGTCACTGGTTGTTATGAAAACTAAGCTTAAGCACTTGTAAATTTATAGAAGAAATGTTTAATAAGTCTGTCCAGGGCAGGGCCATTTTTATCCAAGGTTTATCAATTACATAACTGAAGTAGAGGATCCACATAGCAACACTACATACAAATTATCTAAACTCTGGACATCTTAGTTTTACAAATAAAGTTTCCTATATAAGTTTATGTAAACTAAGTGACCCCTGGGATGGACAAAGGCTATAATTTGAAAATGTTTCAAACCAAATATCTAAGCTTAAACCTCTATACTATAATAGAAGAAGATTTCTGTTCTGTTTTTACTTTATACAAATAAGAAAAAATAATGACCCCCTGGGGTTGGGCCAATTTTGACCCCAGGGCTTTTATTTGTATAACTAGAAGATGTTTCATGCTAAATATCTAAGCTCTTCAAGATTTTTAGAAGAAGAAGTACAAAATAAAGACAAGAGGGCCATGATGGCCCTGTAATCACTCACCTGTATATAGGCCCCCTGGGGCGGGGCCAATTTTAACCAAGGGTCTTCTATATGAACAAACTTGGTAGACACCTATTTGAAGATGTTTCATGTTAAATATCTAAGCTCTAGTTCTAAGAAGATTTTTTAAAGTTTTTACTATACACATATAGAGAAAAACAATGAACCCCCCCCCCCTTCTGGGTGGGGCCAATTTTGTCCCAAGGGCTTTTCTTTGGACAAACTTGGTTAACACTCACTAGAAGATAATTCATGCTAAATATCTAAACTCTAACTCTTTGGGATTTTTTAAGTTTTAACTATATACATATAAGGAAAATCAATTATCCCCAGGGCAGGCCAATTTTAATCCCAGGGCCCTTATTTGAACAAAAATGGTAGACACCCATAAGAAGATGTTTCATGCTAAATATCTTAGCTCTAGCTCTTAGGGTTTTTTTTAAAAGAAGTTTTTTAAAGTTTTTACTATATTGTGATGTTTTCCGGGGGAAGGAAAGATAGCCGTTGTTCGAGCCTAGAGGGGAAAACTCCGACCTGTGGGTGCCTTGATAGAATATTTCAGATAAACTACAAAGAGCTAATTTAAAGAACAAAAATGATTTATTTTATTAAGTAATCTAAAGATGTGTAGTAAGATGAAGTTGAATCTATAAATAAATTATCTATAAAATGATGACTGTTAGTTATTGTTAGTAAAAGTAAACGTTAGTAAATGTTAGTAAAAGTTAGTTACATTCGTTCCATCATGAACTCCAATTCAGAAAATAGAATCTACTAGATCTAGGTGATGAAATAAAGTTCAGCTCTTGTAAGTTGTATTCAGTGTAGATGCCTAGTATCAACTTGTCGTATGTCTATAATGTTTAACTGAGGATTCCTATTATTTAACCAAGTAAAAAGAAACTAAGTAAAATGATTAGACTTAAATGATCTTTCCAGTGACCGAATCCAGTAAGCTGAAGGATAACACCGTACCGGCAATATATTGAAATTCCCCGCGTTAGGAACTTGTATATTATTGGGCACCTAAGCACAGCTAACGCTCTCATCCACTCAGATTGCGGAACGTCCATTTTGGCGCCAAAGCCCTCCATATCGACCAATGGCTAGCCGTTCGACTCCTACATCTAAAAGAAATAGATCCGAACAGGCCACGACGATTTCCAATAAAATCCCCATATCTGGTTGTCTAAGTAACCAATATTATTTACCTAATTTAGTACTTTTTAACCCAAACATTCTGTTCCGGAATTGATTAAGAATTTAGTCAAAACCAAGCATGCACTGTGACGTCACAATTGACACAAAATGAAAGTAAATTCAGTTTGCATTTCCTGATAGAAATAAAGAGTCACCATGCATGTCATCAACTATTTGTAAAAGGTATATTGTCACTGAAATGTATAGTTTGTATACATGCATTTATTGCATCATATCCGTTAATTATAAATATGATAATACGAAATGTCATTAGTTTTCACGATCTGTCAAATTTTGCCGGTGTTTTAAAAGCAGCTTTCTCTGCATACCCTGAGTATCACATACCCAGTAAAACTTATCAATGTTATGGTTTTAAGTGTTTAAAGCATTTGTAATTTATAATGATGTGTTACATGTGTAAGAAAGAGTTCTATAACTGTAAACAAAAGGGGGGGGGGTATTCATATTACACTCTCCCCACCTTAGTTAAAGTAATCCTCCTGGATTACAATCTTAAGAACCTTAGAAATAACTTAAGAAATAAGAAACAAACAATTGTACACGGTTTGAACCATCTAAACATGTGAAAGCAACAATTTACATATGAATAATACAGTATATTTAACAACAATAAATACATTTGAGCAGAATCAAATTCATGCAAATGTCTCATGTAATGTCATAAGAACAACACTTAATAAACAAATTTAAATTAGTTATTTACTCCCCAGCCATTCTGAAACAACATCATTATTTTATCAAATTTAACAACCAACAGTATTTTTAAAGTTTCACTTTCACGCCCCCTTCCTCCAGTACTTTGATTATATCATCCGTCTCGGTCCAACGCTCGGCTTTTTCCAAGGATTTTACTATAGCCCAGGCTTGTTGTGAGTCTGGGATCTCACCTTTGATAATTCCCTTTAGATATGAAAGATTATATTGCCGAATTTTATCTGGAATCTTTTCACATTCACTAGTACTTGCCAATGGCTTATCCTGGCCGTCAAGCATTAAGAAGGCATACTTGTCACATAGTAATTTTTTAGATATGACTGGGAATTCCACATTATTTTTCCTTTCCAGAAATAACGCCATCTGTTCCATCGCAAAGAGCCGGTTTTCTGGTGTCAACTCCCGCCAATTCCTGGGTGGCCACTTCATCTGTACATCGCCAACGTCTATCTCAATTTCTCTCGACCAAATCCTTCTACCAGGGGGACAAAGAGGCATCACGCCAGTCAACAAAAGTTTTGCTGCCCTGCTTCCCAATGTTGATGGTGAATCGTTTACTTCACTTACAGATGATGACCCTGATGAAGAACTACTTGTTGAAAAAGAGTCTTCGTTTTCCGGGCTTCCATGCCCTACTTTTATCCCCCGTATACTTCCCCTAGCACTAACACCTTTGTCCTGTTTATCCTCTTTAATGCTTGATTCATTTTCAGTGCTCCCCAAAACGTCTCCCCTAATCCCATCACCTATACTATCCTTTGATTTAACGTAAGTCCCTGTGTTTAACTCTTTTTCCAAATCGTCTGAGTCAAGTATCGGCAGAAACTCCCCTGTCCTATAATTTAAACGCATTGATATGTCTACATTTTCTCCAATAGTCAAACAATTTCCGTCTCCTTCCTCTGGTCCAACTCTGCCTTTTTCTGTATCCTTCATTTCTCCTAATAATGTGTTAACCGCCGCTTCTGTTTCGTTCCTTTCCTCAGCCACTTCACAGTCGAACTCATACTCATAAAAATCTTCTGTCTTCTGTCTCTGGTCTGCGTCCCCTCTTTCTGTTATGCTTTCTTTTTCTACTTTGTCCTTCGTTTTGTTCATGTCAGTATCCATTTTCTCTTGTCTGTCTACATCTAATGCACGTTGTTTATTGTTGTTTGCGTCTTTTTCCAATGATTTATGTTCTTTATCAACTTTTTCTAATGTCTTTTGTTTCTTGTTAATGTCATTCTCTATGCAGTCTGTATATCTCTTTCCTCTTCCACTGTTGCAAGATTTCTCTTCCTTTCTATTTGTTATTCTACCAGGCCGTTCACTACTAACTGATCTACCCCTACGATCCTTTTTCTTTGAACACTCCTCCCCCTCCTTCCAACCTTTGTTTAACCTGTCTAACCTTTCCTTTTTATCATCAAATCCCTCTGCCCAATTTCGGAACTCCTTCCTGATAGAATATGCCAATTCACTTCCATATGGGGTAACCGACTCAGTGACCTTTGCATAATCTATAGGCTTCAATGCAAAGTAAAACCCTGCCTGACGGGAAAACATCTCTTTGCTCCTCCATGCCTCATCAGTGTGAGCACTACCCCTGACATGACTTTCTAAGTCTGAGATTCTAGTGAATGTCTTCTCCTTTCCGGGACACCATGGACATACTACTGTCAGACACCGGTGGGCAGAACCAATAAGATGCGACTTCAGAGCTCCCCAGGTGCGGAACATCGCAGGACAAAGCCAACATGATTCCCTGTAAAGAACGCCTTCTGTTAGTTTTGTTAGTTATGTATTTTTATTTCTTTTAGGACACACAATGAAACATTTATTGATTTAATTTTGTAACTGCAAAGAAAAATTTAGGTTGGCCACCCACAGGAGTTGCGACGAAGACTATACCTGCTCTGCTAAAAAAAAACGCGGAAGACTCCGTTGTGAAGAATTTACGTTTCCGATATTTTTGTATTTATTCAAGTTTTATAAAAAGGTTTTTATTTTTACACATGTTGCCTGTTGAACATAAATAAAAATTTAACACAATTTTACATATGTTGTCTGTTGAACACATATACATTTATTTTATTCATTTACTGTTATGTTTTACATTGTTCTATGCATAAATTAACTGTGATATTTTTTTTTTTACATTTGTATTGTTTATTAACATATATCTATAACACAAAAATCAAATTCGCGAACACGTGACCAATTCCTTAAACTATCTATCCTACATGTCATAACGTTGTTTCTCCTTTCTAACCCAACTAGGGACCTTATTACCACAGTAGGGATATAATCTATCAATGTGATAAGCTTTTGGTTTGCCAGTTGAAGTCCGTTTTACCATACAAACCAAATCGTCTACAGTCCTTGTCACTATGAACGGTCCTTTCCATTTGTTGACGAGTTTCGAGCTGACTCCGACTTTCCTTGTTGGGTCGTGTAGCCAAACCAACTGCCCTTGCGAATATGCA